TAGTGGGGGTTGCCCTGACACAGGTGCAGGACCTTGCACTTGATCTTGTTAAACCTCATGAGGTTCACAGGGGCCCACTTCTCGAGCTTGTCCAGGTCCCTCTGGATGGCATCCTGTCCCTCTGGCGTGTTGATCGCACTACTCAGCTTGGTGTCATCTGTAAACTTGCTGAGGGTGCACTCAGTCCCACTGTCTGTCATTGATGGAAGATACTAAACAGTACTGATGCCCAAGGAACACCACTCATTACAGATCTCCATCTGGACATTGAGCTGTTGACTGCAACTCTTTGGATGCGACCATCCAGCTAACTTCTTATCCACTGAATAGTCTGTCAATCAAATCCATACCTCTCCAGTTTAGAGAGAAGGATGTTGTGGGGGACCGTGTCAAAGGCCTTACAGAGGTCCAGACAGATGACATCTGTAGCTCTTCCCTTGTCCACTGATGTAGTCACTCCATCATAGAAGGCCACTAGGTTGGTCAGGCAAGACTTGCCCTTGGTGAAGCCATGCTGGCTGTCTTGAATCACCTCCCTATCCTCCATGTGCCTTATAGCATAGCTTCTAGGACTTGGTAATACAAGATTATTTTTTCCTCTGTTCTTTGCTTTAGACACAGTCCATAATAGCTAGGGTGTATCATGACTAACAGTGAAATACAGAGGTGGCTTGTCAAACTTTCTGGTCTTACTATGATTTTATATGGTCTGATAGAAGATAGAGTAGGATTTTCAAGTGTTCTCTATCACCATTCCTGAATTTTTGGAATGAAAATAGTGCAGACCAGTAGCGTTCAGAACTGAACGGTAGTACAATAAAGATGTTTCCTGTAAGTAGCTTAATATAATTTCAAAATGACTCTTTAGTGAGAAGAAGAAAATAACATGCAAATGTGCTACTAAGTTGGCACTACTTAAAAGAAAAAAAAACAACATTAGGGTCTTGAAGTTGCACAGTAAAATGAAATCAGTAACATACTCTTCTTTCTACTGCTCAGGCTGGTCTAGTTTTATCATGAAGCTTAAAAAAAAAGTGTGTGTGTAAAAAAAAAAAAAAAAAATAGTGAGCTGAAGCTCAAGAAATAAAAATTCTAGCTAATTCCTGTTTTATAGTAACATTGTGTGTTTGTTTCAAATCCGCACACCTGTAAATTACCTTAAAGGTTCAGAGTAGTCTAGTAAACATTATCCTTCTGTAAACTTTAGCCAGAAATTGTGGATGTCACTACTAGGTAAACATGGAGTCTGTGCCATACTTTGGACAACCCTTGAATGCCTTCTGACACATATGTAATGTTATATATAGACTACAGTTATAACTGTCATATTTGCATAGGGCTTAGTAAAATATCTGTCAGCGAGTCATTCTCAAAGTAGAATCTTTTCCTCATGGAAAACTACAGAGGTATTGCTAAAAGGATCATTGGTTAGAACACAGTTCACTGCTGCTAGACAATTGGAAAGAAGTGGATATTAAGCATCAAAAAAATTGCATCATGTTCCTCTCATTTTAAAAAAAAATCTTTAATGTGCATTGTTTGAGCAATGCTTTTAGGAGAGAAGCTAAGACAGATTGGCAGTAAACCACATCTAGTTTCTTATATAATGCGTAAATGATTTAAGATGGCTTATTCAACACCAGGGTGGCTACACCTGTATGGCATGTTGCAAGGATGAACTCTGTCTTTGGGTAGACTGTAAGCTATAGGATAAAGGTCAAACTTCTTTAGCATTGGTAAAGTAAATACTTTGCATCTCAATAAATATTTACATTTGAGCAGGATGTTAACGTGGTTGTGTGGCTTCATGCTTAACTTAGTGTGGGAAGTAAACTCCTGTTGACCCACAGTATACTGTATCTACTAAAAACTCTGTCTGATCAGTGGGAACATCACTGTTAAGTCACAATGATAGATTTTTATTGAAGTCTAATTTTCTATTTAATTGTAATCATAGAATCATAGAATAGTTTGGGTTGGAAGGGACCTCTAAAGGTCATCTAGT